CACCTCTGAGTGGGAAATTCATTGATCCTTGTAAGTAGGTCCTGTTGTTTGCTGTCCCTTCCCTGAGGAAAAAGGGACTGTAGCTATAACTCTCATGACAGGTCGTTTGTCATGCTTTCGTTCACTCAGCTAGGAACTGGATGGAAGTAACAGGAAATCTACCAGTAAATGACAGGAACCACCATTCACAGGACTCCTACTATGCGTCAGGGTCTATGCACTCATGCCAGCGACCCCTCAGTGTAAGCGTGGCTGCTCCCACTTCATGGACGTGATAGCACACCCCCGGAAGCAAATGGCACATTTTAGATTCAAATCCAGGTCCGTCTACTCCGAAGCTCACGCTGTCCACTGAGCTGCAACCCTCCCCTCTGGAAGTTTGTAAACCACTAGGGGAAACAGGATAGAGATGTAAACATGTGCAGCAAAGATGGGCAAACTCTCATCAGTGGGCCTGATCCAGTCCTTCGTGTATTTTTGTCCTTGAGCTAAGATGGTTTTTACCTTATTCCATGGTTGGAGGAGTGGGCAGGTCAAAAGAATAATAGTTCTGTGTGACATGTAAAAATTACATAGAAGTTCAAATTTCAGGGTCTATAAGTAAAGTTTTATTGGAACAAGTCTACGCCCATTCATTTACCACCAAGCCTGCCTTCTGGCTACAACAGCACAGTTCGATATTGACGACAGAAACCGCACAGCTCGGCAAGCCAGAAGGATTTATTCTCTGGCCCTTTACAGAAAAGGGTTGTCGACCCCTGGTCTATTCTCCAAGGTGGAATGTTCTATCTCAATAGTTTTCAAAGTGCTTTTGGGAATTGAGAACAGGGAAAACTCATATTTATTTGGCCCCCCATATGGGGATCCAGAGCCGATATACAGGTGTGCTCTAAGATTCAATGCCTGTTAAAACCCAGATTTTAAAACAGATCAATTAAAAAGCAGTTATTTGCATAACAAATTTCCCTTTCCATTTGATAAGGGGATTCACCACAGGGTTCCTTTGTAGAGTGAGTCTCCATAATACATGCTAATATGATTCCATTTACAAATACTCTCTTCATAATAACTTTTCAAGAACATTCCTATTGTGTACAGTGGGGCTTAGCTATAATTGTTTTGCTTTTTTTTTTTTTTTTTTCCTGTGAGCGTAAGATTTCCTATTTCTGAAAAGTAATTGAGCTGGCCTTGCCTGTCAGTTCCAAGGCGGGGGATTGCTGTCCCTGATTGTGTCCCAGAGGGGTTTGACCTATCCTACAGAAGGATGGTGGTTCCTGCAGATGCACTGGTACATGCGCACAGTCCCGCCTACTTGGGGGTCTGTGGCAGGAGGTTGGCTTGAGCCCAGGTGTTTAGGACCAGCCTGGGCAATGTGGTGAGACCCTTTCTCAAAGTAAATAAGAAAAGACTGTTCTAAGTGTCTGTTTTATGTGACAGTAGATAACTGGTATAATTTTACGTTTTTTCCTAAGTTTCTCTTGGTAGTTGCAGCCAAACTCCTAAACTGTAAAGTCTTCACTATGCCCTTCACTCCATACCCAAGATAAACTAATGAAAATTACATTTGTGACTAATGTCCTGATAAATATGCGACCAGCAAAAGTTATAAAAAGCAATCTTTCTTTTTTTTTTTCTCTCTCTCTCTTTATAAAATTGCAAGACAGTATGTTATCTAAATTACAATATAAACTGGGGCAAGTATTCAAATTAGAGATCTTCCCAGCAAAATAGGAAGTGGTATTGCTGATTCAATTTAGGACCCAGGCTCTCTTCCACGGGGTCCTAAGCCCGAATCTTTGCCTAGCTTTGTGGCCTTATGCAATTGCTCTTTTTAAGAGACACATAAAATGGAAACCCTGGCTATTCATAGGCAACTTAGGAGGAGCTGACATTATTCAAGAAGTTTATTGCCTGGTTCCATTTTGATGGTGACTATGTTTCTGAACAAATCCACTTTTTAAGTGGAGGTTGTTTTAAAGAGCCCTCTCAGGCCTTTTGTTTTCTGTGTCCTCCATGGCGATTGTGTTTTAGAATTCCGGGAGCATTCCTGTTGGATAGCCTGATTATTTTTCAGGGTTTTTGTTGTTTTGTTTTCAGTGGTAAAAGAAGCTTATGTGGAAATGCAAGGGCAGAGAAAATCGTGTCAGGGCAGTCCTGTGTGGCATTGCCCTGTGGTGAAGCAGGTCTGTGTCACAGAGCTGCTAATGGAAAATGTGCGAGAGAGTCGCAGGGGGCTGGGGAGCAGCAGAGATGGCATTAGGGCCCCACAAATGGCATCATCAAGGAGGCCAGTGTGGGAGGAGGCTGCTGGAAGCCGCTCGGCTGCCCCTGGAGGCTGCAGCTTCTTGCACTGTATGGCAGGTGACATTTCAGCCATTTCCTCAGCCCATCACTGGCAGGGAAAGCACACAGAATCCATCTTTGAGACTCTCCAAAAGGGGGTCTCACTCTTCATCTCCCCCAGAGGTCAGAAGCACTGAAATTCAGGCAGCAGCAAGAAGTTTCCTTCCATTGCGTTCTTGAATTCAGACTGTCATCTGTTGTGTTCTCCGTCTTTCTCTTTCCCTCTCTGAATTGCTGCTACCCAGGTTTTAATCTCCATCATATATTTTTTTTTCCTCAAATGTGATATGAAGTGATGCCAGGTACAGCTTATAAAACAAATCAATGCATACTGAATAAACTATATTAGTTTTCTTTTTCCCTGGTGGTAATTTTAAAACTTTTCAAAATTAACACTAATGGACATAGAGAAATGGGGATATAAATTTCCGTGCCTTTTAATGATCAGACTGAAGACTGGCCCCTGGGGGTGACATAATTTACCATTCTCTGCTACCAGGGATGCTTCAAAGGAGGGGTTTGTGAAGCCCTGTGATTCTAATAAAAAACAGCACACACCTCAGCCTACCTTTGAACATCTCCCCCCACCACCAAATAGCCGCTGAGCAGATCTCATTTCACAAATGGAAATGGGAGCAAATACACTTTTTGCAAAATGATTTCATAAAGAGTGGGCTTGTTTAATTGTGTTTTAGGAGCCAGGATTAATATTATAGGCTGGGGAGCTCTGAAGATGTGCGTGCGCGGCTGGCTTTGCCACACTGCCTGCCTCCTGGGGCAAGGCAGAGAGAAGTGGCAGTATTCAGAGACAATTTCACTTCTGCCTTGCCCTTCTCCCACAAGTGATTTCCCAGCCAGCCTGAACCAAGCGCCCAGGCCTGAGCTGTTACGTGTAATGGCAGAGAGATCTTCCCAAGCTCAAGGTCACACCTAGAGCATACTTTGAATATTTCTTTTTTCTTTTCTTTCTTTTTTTCTTTCTCTCTTTCTCTCTAATTTATGTGACTTTCTGATATGGTCAGGATTTGCCCTTGTCTCCATTCTGCTTATTAAGGTAAATTTGCATGGAAATGGGGTTTTCAGAACCATTCACCTGACACTTGATCTCTTGAAGTGACCAGTGTCTACTGTGCTTTATATGAGGGTGACCCACAGAAGCCATATCCCCTGCAAACCAGAGGCAAGGCCTTAATTAGGAGAAGCTCTGCATGTTGACCTAATGGGGTGAATCAAATCAGCAAAGACATTTAGCATTAACAAAGGAGGGCAGACTTCTCCTTCCTGCCGAGTGGGTTAACTAGGTCACAAAAATGTTAATTTGCTTTAGATGGACAGATCTTGAAGAAGATGTACGAAAAGTGTATTTGCCTTGTTGTTTGGGAATAAGTTTGAACTGGTGAAAAAGCTCCGAGAGCCATTTGTGACATTTTATTTGACTTCTGAGCTATTTTTCACTTAATACTTACCTTTGGACTGGTAATATTTGCCATTAGAAATTACCTTTGGAAAACCAAGCAAATATGGAAAATTAGAGACACGAACCCCTTGCTATCACCCCGTCACAGTCGGCTTTAATCCTCTGAGCTCTCTGCTCTTTATCCTGCCACCTGCTGCCACCTCCCTTATTTGCCCAAATCTTGTCTACTGGGGCAGAAATTCAAACTGAGAGGACGATGTGGCCCCAGTTTCCTGATCACTGAAAGTCCACCAGGTTTGAGGGTTACTTATTAACTCACTCAAAGGGTTTGAGACTTAGGGAATTTTTGAGAAACATAAATGCCAGACCACAGCTTTCCAGATTCGGCCCTGACAGTAAGCTGTCTTAGCAGAGAATCAAAGGATTTGATAGTCTCGGGGACTCAGCGCCACATTTCAGGGAGAAAAGTTTCTAGGATATGGAACACATCAGAAGAAAGTCGTGCGGCTTCTAACCTGGTTGCTTTGGCTGGAGAAAGATTTATTTCATAAAATTATTTTAAAACATCAATACTCCTTAACTTTTTTTGCATAATACTTTGCATCTAGTATTTCATTTCCTCTCATAATTTTATTCATTGAATATCATGATCTCCATTTTACAGATGAAGAAACTGAGGTTTAATTTCTTTCCCAAGATCAAATGGCTATTTACCAACAAAACTAGGATTCTACCCTTCTCTCTCTCTCTCTCTTGCTTTCTGTATGACGTCTCCACAGATTCCTAAAAAGAAAATTTCATGCTCAATGTAATATGGTGATTGATACATTGATCTTTCTTTACACAGGTCTCATGCATTACAAGGAGGGGCCAGGATTTTAACTCATTTAAAAAATGTGAAAATCAAAATTTCCAAAATGTTCTTGGTTTATGCTACAATAATAAAATAAGTAATTTGATCAACCAAATCTCTCATCTCAAAAACCAAAATGCTTCCAAGTCTCTAAAACCGTGCAGAAGGACGCTGAGCTCCCCACTGACCGGGCCATCTAATTCTCTTAAATGATTCAGATGTAAAAGAGAAAATGGCATCTGTCTAATTAACACCGCCTGGTTAAATATAGTTGCCAAGGGACAGCCTCGGGACAGTGTTTACAGAACAGTCTCCCCAGCCCCTTGGGCCTCAAGTTCCAGTTGATAGCAAGCCTTCTGTCCTTATCAAGTGGAAACAGAGATGCCCCCAGAAGGGGGTGACAGGCCACTACAGGCCAGGCGACAGGCGAGGGGAGATGAAAGGAGAGGGAAAAGGCTGTCGTTGGCCTGCATTTCCTGCTCCTGGCATCTGTTGGTTCAGAAAACCATCCCAGGAACCAGATCTGGAAGGATCCAGGAGCTCTTGCTTCAAACACAAGCCCTGGCGTCCACCTGCGTCCTGCTCTCGTGCCTGCAGACATTCACTGGGCCACACTCCTACCCACTGCTGAGGCTGCCAGGCAGTGCCATCTGCTCTGAGGCCCTTTCCCTGGTGGAAAGGCACAATGACCACCTTATTTCTCTTCCAGCTTCACGTCCCAACATGGAAGCTGTTGCCAAGTTTGATTTCCTGGCCTCTGGGGAGGATGAACTGAGCTTTCACACTGGAGATGTTCTGAAGGTAGGTGATACGCGGCCCCCAGGGAGTGAGAGCTAGTTGAGGTCCCCCAAGTCCTGCCACTGAGGTCATCTAACAATCCATGCCTTTGTCTCTGAAGAATGTTCACAGTTCCTTTTATGAAAAGACGTTCAGCTCCATGCAGGCCAGAGAGAGCATAAGTCACCATCTTATCCTGAGACACTTATGGTCCAGAAGGGGACAGACACCCATCCCCAGGACTGTCCCAAATGTTGTCAGCTCAGGGAGCACAGGGGAGGGAAGAGGTGATTCCACCTTGAAAGGTGGGGGTTGTAGGAATGTGGCAGAATGAGGGTCAGGAACGCAGTGAGCTCAGTGGGACCTTTTGCTGAAACTCAGGGCTGTGCTAAGGCAGGAGCACCCAGGTTCATGGTTGGAGCTTAGGAGAAGAGGTGAGGATGGGTACAGACGGCCAGGGAGAGGCAGCTGGGCCAGACGTGGCTCAACAAAAGCCATGCCCACCCAGCCACTCAGAGGCTCCTTAAAACTTGTCTTCAGCCTGTAATTGAGTTGTAGTGGCCACTTGCTGAGCTGAAGTGGCCTTGGACGTCTCCCACGATGTAGGCACACTTACAGACTCCAAAAGTTAGCCCTTGTTTTTTGCAAAAGAAACACAAAACCCTTCTGGAGGCCATTTAATGGTCCATGATGCCAAAGGCCTCTTTTCTGGCCTCAGCACAATTGAAGAGGCTGTCCCTGTCCTCAGCAGCCCAGATGGGCTTTCTCAGATGCCCAGTGGCACTGGGGCCACCACTGTCTCACCATAGAGGATTTTGTGCTATACAAAGTGGCTTGTCACGTGTGACTTGGAAAGTGTCTGTGGAGGACAAGCCACGGGGGATGGATTTGCTAGGAATTTTAATGCTTCCAGCACGAAGCCTTCCCACGGCTCTTAACTGAAAAGGTCTAGTGGCCCGAGGGCAGTGCTCAGTGTTGAAGCTACAAGCTCAGAATAGCGAGAAGGCCGCCAACCCAGTAAAAGGTGGCTTTCCCTTCTCTGTGGCTTTAACAAGGTCCTTGAGGACTTGCCATGTGGGGAGAAGCCCCCCCACTTCTCTGTGGAGCATTGGGACCATGTGATTCTCAGCCACGCTGGAGCGTACCCCACTCAGAAGAGGCCAGGGAGGGACCAACCACTACCCTCATCTTCCATTGCAAACAGAACCCCGATACTGCTCAAATTTTCCTCCTTCCCCAGACAAGTGAAAGGAAGGGAGGAGCCAAAAACCCAACCCTGGCCTCAATTCTGCTTCCCAGGCCACCTCCTGGTTTCTTTTCTCCACTTTTTGGCATTACCAGGCAGAATTCTCTACCTGGGCACCCTCTTTCCTCATTCCTCAACATTCTGGAATCTGCCTCTTACCTGTTAACACCCTTTTATGCCCGATGACTTCCTTGATGTGAAATATAACAACCCTCCCAATCACCTGGAGAACGTGGCTCTGCTAACCGCCTCTCTCCTGGGCCCCCTCCCCTCCTGGGGAGGCCCCCATTCTTTCTCTCTCTCCCTCCCTTCTTAAACCCCCTCTATAGCTCTCATTTTGGGGTGTTCCTTTTCCTCCCTCTAACCATAGACAGCAGCTTCCTGGGCGTACTGCCCTTGGCCATCTAATTTCCCCTCTTGCTCTGAGCCACCTCATCCATTTCTCTGGCTCCACTCTCACCTCTATGCCAAAGACCCACCATTCTGCACTCTGCCTCCTGCTCTGACCTCTGCCTCGAATCCCAGACCCACATTTCCAGCTGTCAGCTGGATGATGCCACATGGACTCCAGACTCACCAGAACCCCGCACCCACCTCACCCCCACTTCAACATCCATGTTCCGAATGTCAGCAGAGGCTGGTCACCACACCAGCAGCCTCAGTGGTCATCTATTCCCCCCTTGCCAATTCTGGTGATCAGTAGCCAACATCTCCTGATTTCCTGTTGAGTGCCAGGACCTGGTCAGGTGGCTTGCAGGCATTATTTCATAACTCAGTAAACCTGTAAAGTAGGACTACTTTTTTCTTCCATTTCACAAGTGTGAAATGGAGGCTGAGGGATTAGACCATGTGTCCAAGTTAACCCCGGTAGATTCTGACGGTCTGGGTGGAGCTTTGTGCAATTCCTACACACGATACACTATGAATATTTTTCATGGTGATCTCTCTCAAGTGAGCCCCACCTTCACTAGAAAGGTGTGGGGTGCAGTGGGAAGGACTTTGCTACCAGCCAGATGTGGGTTCAACCCCCAGCTCACTACTGTGAGGCCCTGGGCCAAGTTCTGCTTCCTCTGAGTCTCAGTGACTCCTTCTATCAGTGGAGGCCTAGCTACCCTGCAAGGTCCTGGCCCGAAGCAGATGCCCAGCAAAGGGTGGCCATGTTATCAGTAGACACATTTCTGCTGTCTCTGCCTGTTCATTCACACTGTCGCCATGGCCCCCTTGACTGACCTCATTGCCTGATGTCTCTTCTTTCTTCAATCTTTCTACCAAGTAGTCCCAGAAGGACTTTTCTAGAAGACAAATCAGATCATATCATTTCCTTGCTCGAAAGCATCCAGTGGTTCCCTGTTACCAATTGATTGAAATCTAAACCATCTGGCCCCAGTGCACTGTCCGATCTCATTACGCTCACAAGCAGGCACACTTGTACGTGCGTGCACACACATACACACACATACAGACAACCTTTGTGTACATAATGCCCCCGGTTCCACTACAACACAGCCCCATCTTGGGCTCTCCCCTATGCTCTGAGTGTCATTTCCCTGCCCACGCGTGTTCAGACCACCCTGCCAGGTGCCCTCACTGATCCTCCCCTTTCCCGACTGCCCCAGCAAAAGCGATCCCTTGTCCTTCAGCGCCTCCCCAGCTTTCATAGCACTTCATCTTGAGGCACAGGCTCCACTTCTCACTGCTACTCTCACCCTGTGGGCTCCCAGTTGCCCATTTCTGTATTGGCTGCTCTGTAAGGGCCAGGGTCACTTCTGCCAAAGTGGGTCCTGCCAACATCTGGTGCATGGAGGGGGGTCCCTCCATCGTGGGCTCCCTGGGAGCAGCACCATGCCAGATTCATCTTTGTGTCTTCCCACCATCAAACATAAGCCACCGCCCCAATAGGTTCCCAGGGCACACTTCTTAAATTGCTGAACTTCATTTCTGTGTGCTCATTTGGAATTCCATCCGAAAGTCAGCCCCTTCCCTCTTTTCAAATGTTGCCCATTGCAGCTGTAGTGGTGAAGAGAAAAACGCAGAGTTTGTGACAGAGCTCACACAATGTCTGAATGAAGGTCATCAGTGCCCTAGTCATCGCTCCTGGTGTGCCACCACAGTGTCTGCTCCTCTCATCCCGAGTCAGGAAACATACCCAGGGATCCTCATGGTCATTCTCAAAGCCAGCTCTCGTCAGCCCCAGCAATTTGCTTTAGGGTGCCTTTGTCTCTTGTTTGGCTTCTAGAGCTAAAGACTAAAGAGCTTTTCATAAGAAAGTTCCCCCCAAAAAAGTGTCTGACTAGTGCATCCACCACTCTCTCCAGACTGTGAGTTCCCCAGGGTGAAGGCCCAAGTTCACTCACCTCCGTATTCTTGACACCCTAACTGCAAACAGCAGGTGCTTACAAGAGGCTGATCCGCATGGGATGGTAAACAAGATGGTGGACAAGGAACCCTGCAGAATGACCTGATCTCTGTTCTCCTCGGGGAGAAACATTTGGAAAGCCGAGAATCAAAATCAAACTTTCCGTGTTCGTGTCATAAACCTCCATACCCGTAGGCTCACATAGCACCAGACTTACATTGAAATCTGTCACTGGAATTTTCCAGGAGCTTTGAAAACTGTCTCTTGACCCCCATCCATTTCTACTTGCTTCTGTACTGCGTCCAACTCGACCCCATTTCTTTCTCCTGAAACAGAGGCATAAAAGCACTAAGAGTTAATCCTACATAATTAACTTCCTCTACACCTCTGATTTCTGCCATGCCTCTAAGAGCTGTAATTCTATCCAATTTTAAATTTTTTCCTGATGTACTTTGGTCTTTCTCTTCCCACGTCTAACTTATTCTCAGGCCATGTAACCCAGAAAATTATTCTCTTAGGGAACATTTTTAAGAAGTAAGGCACAGCAATTTCGGGGTAAAACTTCATGGGTTTAGACTGAGCTCCTTGCTCAGGTTTATACGATGGGTATAAGAGATAAGGGGAACCGAACCGATGGAGAGATGAGAGGAACAGGAAGTTACAGGGCTCTGGGCCCACAACGGCAGGAGGAAGCCCTCTCCCCCTCCCCCAAATACTTTCCTTGCAGAAAATGAGATTTTTTAAGACCTTGCTTCTATTACACCATAAAAAGCCTGTAAATTCACCTCTCTGGAAACACAATTTCAGACCGACCAAGCACCAGGTGGTGGAGACAAATAGCCAGCATTGGGGGATAATCTTTTGGTTTCAGGAGGAGGTAGTTAGATGGGTATGAGCCATGATTACTAAAATTACAGCTGGCTTCAGGTCAGAGAACGAAATACAAAGTGTTGTTCGTACTGTGATAAGCCAATTTCCAAAAGGCCTCTCTCACCTTAGTCCTGCTCACTTTTGGATTTGACACTTGCCCCCTGGCCAAACATTCTGTACTCCCATGATGGGAAAAAGGAATTCCAAAGCCATGGAAGCAGTGGCCCAGAGGTGAATGTTCCCGTGGTCTCTGTGTAGTTGGGAGGCACCACCTCTGGGGTTCCTAGTTCTTCCTTTGACCTAGATTTTCTGCTTCCCCCATTGCTCCCCCCTACACACATACCCTCGTCCTTAGTGAAACCAACAGTCACATTTGATGTTTGAAACTATAGAGTTCTCTGTTCTCAGCAATTCTCAAACTCAAATATGGGACACACTTTTATTTCTTCGGAACAAATGATCACATTCAAAACATACACAAATAACATAACGCTTTAAAGAACTTATAAACCCTTCTGTGTCCTTCAGAGCTGGAATTCTCCCTCACAAGAATATCACATTTGACAGATGATATTTTCATAAAGAGTATGTGCTTAGGGAAGGACTTTCAGAGGGCTCTGTGAGGTGCTGGGCAGATATTATTATCCCCGTCTTCAGATGCTAATTGACTGGCCCAGCGTCACATAGCTAGTGGCAGAGCCAAGCCAGGAAGCAGGCCTTCTCCTTCCACCATAGGGCCCTCTCCCCTTTCGTCCCCCTCAGGAGTGATACTAGAAGTAGGTCAGCGTTACTTCTCCAGCACGAGGCTCTCTGCAACTCTCCTCCTGGCTTTTTCTCTGGGAGAGAGAAACCCCTGGGACCCATGACTTCAAATCCATCCCTTTGGATGACTCCCAAGTGCCACTCTGCCACCCCCACCTCTAGCCTGTGTCCGGCTCCCACGTGCACTGCTCCTGCGCCTCCCTTCCCCATCAGAGTTCACCCACTACAAGCTGAAGTCCATGCGTCCTTCCTGCTTGACTCCTGCTTTCTATTTCAGGACAGACATCTCTACCCACTCCATCTCCCAAGCTAGAAATTCAGAGTCATCCCCAAATCCCCCTCTCCCTCAGCTCCCCAGAAGGTCAAAATCCCGCCCATGTGGCTTTCTCAATTCCTCTAAAATATGTCCTCACCTCCTCTTAGTCCAGGCCCCATCGTCTCTTTCCTGGGGAGTGATACTCACCTCCCCTCAGTTCCTCCCCTGACTTTATCCCACCCCCAGCTCATCCTCACCCTGTGATACAGAGCTCTTTCTTAACTCTCTTTCTTACTGTTATTTCCGGGCTTAAAGTCTTTTCCTCACTCTCCATAAATTCCAAGATAAAAACCCAAACTCTTCAACATGGGCCCAGGGGTTCTGACAAGCGTCCCAGAATGCACCTCATTTCCTCATGCCTTAGGAGTGGTTCTTTGGCCACCTAACTTTGCCTGAGTAACTCACTCATTGCCTGGGCAGATGGCCTCTCCCCCAGGCTGTCTTTTCTACCCATCCTCTGACTTTCCTCTTCATCTTAGTCACTCAATTCACCAGGACATCTTCAGCTACAAGAAACAAACTAAAAATGGCTGAAACGATCACAGAGTTATTATTTCTCAAAATTCAGAACTAGGAGGGCTCCTGGGTGGTTAATTCAGTGGCTCTTCGCATTTCCTGCCCTCTTCTGCTCCACCATCCCCGTTTTGAACTGTGGCCCACGTCTATGTCACATTACATTAGAAGCATCTCAGTGGGGGTGGCAAATATTTTTCTTTTATCGGTGACTCTTATTTTCTGAAATAAGCAGAAGCTTCATAGAGCCAAGTCTGGTGAGTAATATGAGTAACCAAGGTAGGTGACAGTGTGTGGGGTAACAGTCAAGAGGGAACCATACAGTAATGAGACAGAACTTTTGGTTTTGCTTGTGCTCTGGCTTTAAAATCGAGTTGACAAATACCATCCCATGTATCTTGAATCCTGTCCCAGCGATCTGTGAAACACAGAATGTGAACACACAGAGGTGCTGTTTCCACAGCTGGCCCCACTTGGATGTCCAAGTTTTAATCTACTTGTTTGGAGAGTTTAATTTTTTGAAGTTTCCTGGTCACCTGGAAGAGAAGAAAAAACTACGGAGTAGCCATTCTTTCCTTCCCACCGTCTGCCCAGATGAGGAACTAAAGATGCCAAGACCCAAGACAAAGGAAAAGGAGAAGGAATTCAGAGAGGCCCCCATGTGCTGGGTCTGGGAAGCCAGGCTACAATGGGGTGACATGAGTGGGTGGCACAAGTGACAGAGATAGCTTGGGGTCAAAGAGAAGCCATATTCCAAAGGCAAGCCCACTGAGTGCCCCCTTCCCGACTAGGCGGACTCACAGCAGCTACCTGGATCCGTGGCTTTTTTACCTATACATCCAAAAGGACTTTCTTTGCCCTGCAGCCCCTTCTCTTGCTTTTCTGGGTCCTCCCTGCAGCAACTGCGTCCTTTGTTCTCCTCCCTGTAGATTTTAAGTAACCAAGAGGAATGGTTCAAGGCGGAGCTTGGGAGCCAAGAAGGATATGTGCCCAAGAATTTTATAGACATCCAGTTTCCTGAGTAAGTATTTCCAGCCTGCTGAGATTGGCCTACCCACACACGCTCCCCTTACTTTTTCAGTCGTCACTAAAATTATCCATGCATACCCAAGATACTGTCAAAAATGGTTGCCTCTGGAGATCTCCCTCCAGAGCCTCCAGAACCACACAGCGGAAGGCCAGGGGTGGGAGGAAGATTTGCATTTCATTTCATTCCCTTTTGAAGTTTCCACCATGTGCATGTATCGCCTATTTTAAGTTTTTATAAAATAAGGTTATAAATTAAAATCACCCACAATGATTGCAACTGCAGGTTTCCAAGCATCCCAAAGGGGGCGCTGTTGGCCACCTCACTTCAAAAGGGCCGTTTTGCAATTACCTTCCACCCAAACAACTCTGTCCCTAATAGGGCGGCTGTGGGGACACTCCCTGCCTTCCTTAAAGTATATGTTCACCCCAGCCAGAGAAGAGAAGTCAGTGGGGGGAAGGGAAATTCCCTCCAGAAAGAGGAAATGAAACACTGAGATTGGGCCCCAGTTGTCTCAAGAAATTGACCACAAGGGTTAGATAGAAATCTAATCTTGTCGCAGAGCCGGTGGCTTACCCAAACAGCAAAGGTTTGTTGGCACCGATGACTCCTATGAGGTGCAGCAGCACCACCATCAGTGATCCAATACTGACCACTGAACCAGATGAATGACCTCATCGGGCCCTTGATGCTGCCTGGTCATCTGCTAGGTGCCTCCCGCCCCTCCCCCGCCTCACTCTAAGCCCTCGACCTGGATTCCAGGTGCACTGAGAAAATGGAAGTCACCAGAAGGGAAGCTCCCTGATCTCCTCCCCTGGTCCCCAGCCCCCGCTTCTACAGCCTCCTGCAACTGAGGTCAGACATGCCCCCCTGCAACTGTCCCCAGCGAACTGCCAGTGCTTCTATCAGAAATTCTCCCCTCTCCCACATCCACGTTCTTTCTCTCTTTGCTAGATCACTCCCCTCAGCAAACACACATGCTGCCTTTTCTCCCATCTCGCCAAAAAAAATAAACGAAAACCAAAACCAAAAATCTCTTGATCCCCAATCCCTTCCAGCTACCACTTCATTTCTGCAAAAGAATCGTGTTTGATATTTCCAATTGCTCACCTCCCGTTCCCCCTGGAGCTCAAGGGCACAGTGAACAGAGAGAATAGCTTTGCAATGACATGGAATATTGAAACCCTGACTGCTTGTGCCTAATGTGAGTGTGTGAAAGTCTTTGGAAGTCTCAAAAGAAATCACTTCTCCAATCCTAGTTAGAGAACACACACATTTTCTAATCCCCCCCCCAATTGCCTGTTGCCCCTTCTAAATTATTTCCTTTGAGCGATAGCTGCTATGGAGGGACTTCTTCTCCCATCCCCACTGCTTCCACGTGGCTATGACGTGGCAGTCACTAGGTCAGCCCTGCAAGGGTGTGTGGCAAACTCTGGAAGATCTCCAGACCTCCAGAGAGACTCTGCCTCCAGCCCCTGGGGGTACAGCCAGCATTTCCCTGTGGCCAGGTCTGAAATAAGTGCAGCCCTTCTGCTACCCCTGTCTCCAGTGCAGGTTCCCAAATTCTAGGAAGCATGGAGTGTGGTTCATAAAGGAATCCAAATGCCTGTCAGGCATTTCTCTTAAAGGGCCATGTGCATTAGCCTTACTGGGGGCAGTGATCAGAGCAGCCACCTTGAAGCAATGTCACACCACCCCACCTCTGGCCCCTGAGCAATTACAAACTCTCATTTTGCTTCTTAGAGGTTGAGAGAGGTTTCTGGCCTCCTGCCCTGGGGCTGTCTGTACTCTGGGCCTTGCCCTGAGTGTTCGACTTTTTCCTGCATGCCAGCCACCCTACGTGCAGCCACATTCCAGAGACTGCCACCCTGGCTGCAATCCTGAAAAGGCAGCTTCTCCCATTTGCTTCTTTTCCACAGCAAAGATGATCTTCCAAGCAGGGTGTGTTGGTACCTGCCTACAATCCCTGCAAGGTGGGAGGCTAGGGCAGGAAGATTGCAAGTTCAAGGCCAGTCTTAGCAACTTGTTGAGACCCTCAACAACTTAATGAAACCCTGTCTAAAAATAAAAAATATACAGGGCTGGGATGTAGCTCAGTGGTAAAGAGCTCCTAGGTTCAATCCCTGGTACCAAGAGGCGGGGGGGGGGGGATGATTTTTTTCTCCAGCCTGTTTTTGTTTTCTTGGTGGTTGCGGTGGGGTCCCAAAGCAGAGGGAATTGCTCACAAAGAATCCCACAGGAGCCGGCTCTGTAGACGCTGTTCTCTGGGGCTGCTGCTAGTCCCGGGTTCTCCATGCCTGCCTGAGTAGCCTGAGTCCCTGGCTGTAACTCACCCCAACTGCCCCATAGAGGAGCCTCCAGCTCACTGAGGCCTCAACCTGGGAGTGAATGCCCCAGGCCCTGCCCAGCCCGCTGGCCTGGCATCCCTTCCCAGTGCCCATAGCAGCCCTTCCTCCTGTGCATCCTCTGCCCCGCAGTCCTCCTCCATCTGATCCCGCACACGCACTCAGCAGCAGCGCAGCAGCAGGCAGCTGCTTCCTGCCGTGAGTCCCTCCCTCTTGGCCCCATTTTGGTGCAGAGGCACATTTCCATGATTCAGGGTTTCCAAGCTGGAGAGAGGCTTCTCCTGGAGGGAAGGAACAAAGAGGGCGAGTCAAGAGGAACACTCACTTGCTTTTCTTGAAAGCTGCTTATAGCCCTTGCTGGGTTTCTGAAAGCACCTGCCCCTCAGGCTTCTCTGCCCTCTTCTAACCCTCCCTCCCTTCTTTGTTTTCCCTTACCGTCATGCCTGGCATCAAGATCCTCTTGCTGTCTCTCTCCCGGTAGGTGGTTTCATGAAGGACTTTCGAGACATCAGGCAGAGAACTTACTCATGGGCAAGGAAGTTGGGTTCTTCATCATCCGGGCCAGCCAGAGCTCACCAGGGGACTTCTCCATCTCCGTCAGGTACTGGCCACTCCTGACACCGTCCTGATCCTTCTCAGCTGATAGTCGCCCAGACTACTGAAGCCACAGGTGACCTCTCAAATGTGACCCAGTGACCAGTGGCTTAGGTGACCAAGCTTGGTGACATCTTATCAAACTGTACTGTTATCCATTTCCTTCCGGGAATCTGTGTCTGTAACTCCTTAGTGAGGTAGGTTGTGTTCAAAATTATGCCACAATGATCTGCCTCCCCATCTAGGCCAAGTGGTCCTGAAGAACAGGATTTTATCACTTCATCTTTGTGCGCTTAACAGAGTCTTGCACGCGGTAGATAATCGCAGAATATGTATGGAAGGAAGGAGAAGGGGAGGAAGAATATAAGAACTACTACTTGACCACATCCACCTGGGGTTTAAATTTTAAACCCAGAGGTGCTTTACCACTGAGCCACATCCCCAGCCCTTTTTTTTTTCTTCTTTTTGAGACAGGGTCTCCCCAAATTGCTGAAGCTGGCCTCAAACTTGTGATCCTCCTGCAATTACTACTGTGATGTATGCTTGAAGAAGGGTCAGAGACAAGTAGAAATCCCAAGTCATGGCTGTAGGACGCCTATGCAGGCAGCTGAGCACAGAGCAAGGCTGCCTCAACCCCACACCCTGGCACCCTGCGGCAGACCTGAGAACAACTGAGCACAGCCCAAGGAGTGGGCAGGGAGGGCTGTGACTGGGAAATGTGGCTCCTGTATGGCACCTGGGAGAAAGTAGTGACTCAGTCCAGGCTTAGACATGACACAGCCCCAAATGAGAAGCACGGGGTCTGAACATAGTATGTGTGGTCAGCCTTTCAGAGACTGCATGTACTTGGTGACCACTCATGAAAGTGCAAGAAATAGAGCTGATAGAGGATCAGGAGAAGGCCTGGCCACCCGCGCAGTAAGACCCTCCTGCCAAGTTCATTGGCAGAAGATTCCGGTCTGAATCATTCAATAGGTTTTGAAAGTCATTACAGCTGTATCACTTCGAGTACAGAAATCTAATCTTAGGTAATAAATTATGGCTACCTCACTCTTTCAAGGAAGTGGATTTTTTAAAACACAGGAAGGACCCACAAATAATGGGTCAACCATTTGTATACACACTTGGCTCTAGGGGGATTGCAAGTAGCTGGTCTCTTTAGCTTTGCTCTGCAATTTTGCCTACACTCTTAATTTTCCTTAAAGCTTTCCTTTTATTAGTTGGGTGATTGTAAACTTTAGCTCAAGCCAATATTAAAGTATCACAAATTCCAATTTCATTAGGTCTTAATTAATGAAATTTTGCTCTATTAATAAACTTTACAAGTCAAACCTATTTTTAAGGGCCCTAATTATGAATTGGACCAAGTAATTTGTTAGATTGAAGGGCATCTCTTTCTGTCTTTGGTTTTTCTTCTCCATGACCCTGGACTTTTTCAGCTATGAATTTTGGTTTCTATTTCCTCAATTGAAACAAATTCTGCAAAATGGTGAGCCTTGACTTCTGCCCAAGTCTTCCCGGGCATTGAGGTGCCCAAGTCTTCCTGGGCATTGAGGCAATATGGCCTCTTGTCATGATACTTATTACTACAATATCTATTGTATATCTTCTCCAGAAATGTAGCATAATATTTTCCGAAGTAAAGTCATTTTTATTTATTTTTACATCTGCTTTCTGTCAGAGGCACAGATGATTAAGAGCTCATTGTAGTTCTTCACTTGTGCTTGTTAAGGATCAAGGTTTCAGAATCTGGAGCCCCACATTACATTCTTTTCTGTGCCCCTCTCAGGACTTGAGACAATGGTCAAGTCATTCTCTGTCTATAGACCCAGATGACCTGCAGCACCCCCAATGTCCACTGCTATCTCAGCTTATGAGAGTGAAAGGGTTAATGTTTCACACTCTGGAGTCCTTTGACCAAGAGATAGTGGATAAATAATTATAATAAACAAGAACATTTCCCCCTCCTCTTTGTGGTAATAACTATGAGTCAGGCCATGGGGCTTTAGGGGGAAAGAAAGCCTCTGTCAGTGGCCAACACACAGGGAAAAAATCATCATGATTATCACAGGTCAGTTACTATCCCAAAGCAGTAGAGATAGCAGTTACTGTGTAAACTTCAGCTTTGCCCAGGTATGGGCAGAGCCCAGCACAGAAGATGAGAATGAGGGTTAGAATTCCTGTCCCCTCGAAATACCAACCTCTACACCCATCTCTAAGAAACTTCCACTGACCTTCAGAGGTATCTCTACTCTCCAAAACCCTTTAAATTCTTAACCTTTCTGCTGAGTCAGTCTGTTGGTATCATTTGTGCCAGTATATCTTTAAATATACACATAGATCTGTTTGAAAAAAAAAAAAAGTTTTACATATAAGGGAGCATGAGTTGGTCATGGAATAGGACTAGAGATGATAAGAAAAGTCCAGTCCTCTCTTTCTGGATGGATAAAATTAAATTTCTCTAATCCTGATACAAATGTGCCCCATCACTTGAGTCCAGACTGGTATCCAATACAAAAGTGCTGATCTAAAAGAAGTCAGCATGGGCTGGGGATGTGGCTCAAGCGGTAGCACACTCGCCTGGCATGCGTGCGGCCCGGGTTCGATCCTCAGTACCACATACAAACAAAGATGTTGTGTCCGCCCATAACTAAAAAATAAATATTAAAAAAAAAAAAGAAGTCTACATGGCCTGGTGGGCCAAGCTCACAAGACTGGAACCAGAGACCTGCCTAACCCTCACAGTGATCTTGACTGAGGCCCTGCACCTTTCTGAGCCCGCCCATCCACATCCTTATAGAAGTCAGGCTATAAAATAAGGTCTTTTCCGATCAAACTCTATGGTTCCAAATAATACTTTTCCCCCCAAAGCTCAAAATGCTTTATAACCCTATTTATGCAAAATATAAACCAATATCAAGAAATCCTCCTAGAGAAAAAAAAAATGTAACAAATTCCTTAAGGATAAGAGCAACTTTTTCCTAACCGGTGCTAGTTTTATAGGCTTAAAGAAGATGGTTCAAAGTATTTCTGATAACAAAAAGATTAACTGGGGCTTAAAAAAATCCTCTGCTGCAGAGCCTTACCATGTCAGGACACTGGTGTTGTCATGTTTAAAATAAACATTATGAAAAGGTCCTCAATCTCTTAGTTTTTAAGACATTTGCAACATTCCCCCCCCCCCCTGTATATGTTGGCTCCATGTCCAAGACAGATTCCAGCTCATCTGATTACCTTCTGCTGATGTGAAAGTCCCTCCTGAGTGGTCCCTCCCACAAACCTCCTGCTAGCGCTTGGCTAGACCAGCCTTCCTGCCCAGTGATGGGAGAGTCATCCATATCTACATTTCCTGCCCAAACCAAACTCTACCATCCTGGGTGCAAACAGAGCTAGAGGCTCTGTCACCTCATAACATGTAACCTGGATTTGCCTTCCTCTCCAGGCATGAGGATGACGTCCAGCACTTCAAGGTCATGCGAGACAACAAGGGCAATTACTTCTTGTGGACTGAGAAGTTTCCATCCCTAAATAAGCTGGTGGACTATTACAGGACGACTTCCATCTCCAAGCAGAAACAGATTTTCCTGAGGGATAGAACCCGAGAAGATCAGGTATGACTCAGATCCACATCAACCCCGACCTAGAGATTTTAGGAAGTCCAAGCTCCCACCGAGAAAATGCATTTAATGGGCTGATCCCAGAGTGTTCTGAAAAGCAGGATAACCCTGAGGTCATACCTCAGTTTCAGTCCTAGCTTAACACTTCCTAGCTATGTGACTTTGGAAAATTCTCCAATCCTCAGTTTCCTCATCCACAAAATGGGGATAGGAGTGCTACCTACTTCCCAGAGGGTTGTGACTGTAAGAGAATAGAATGGATGCCATCTCTTCCATCATTCTGAATCACACTGCAAATCCTCCATGAATTTAACTCTTTGTGGGGTGCTACAATTCTGTCACTTGCAGACATTGAAATGTGTTTTCAGCCCAGCTCAGGAGCTGCCCAAGGAGGGAGTAGGGGGCTCCTACTCTCTGAGAGAGTAGGATCCCAGAGTAAAGCAGCAGGTGGAGCTTTGTGATGGCTTGGGGGTAAGTTGCAGGGGACACTGAAGGAGAAAAACAGACCTGGAATTTTTGCTCTTGCAACTATTTGTAACACAGAGTACTGTTTAATAGAAAAGAACCGGATTAAATCCTGACTTAGCCACCACTTACCTGTATTACCTAATCAAGTGAAGAAACCATTCTGAGTATCAGTTTTCTCATCTGGAGAATGGGGAGAACATCAATACTCCCTCACTGGGCTCTTGTGAGAATGAAATATCATACAATCGCAGCCTTGCCTGCCTAAGAATCTGGTCTATAATAGATATTAAGAGAAAGGTTATCTGCCTCCTGTGAGTGAATTCTCACACATGTGCACACACACATGCAATATGTAAACTATTTTTCAAAAGAAAATACATGGTTATAAGAGGCAGGTGTTATAGAAAGAGGCATTGACTGGGCTAGTTGAGCCTAGTTATTTGAAAAGTGTTGAGACTTTTAAAGCAACATGTGCGCTAGGGAAGTAAAGAAAACCCTCCCTTCCAAGCTGCTGGCTGTTTTTAAGGCTGAGAAACTATAAAGGAGGAAAGGGTGTTCCCGCCAAGTGCACACAAAGTACAGAAAGGAAAACAAAGGTTAACCAAGACCTTGTGCATTATTTCAACCAGGAAATGGGCAGAGGCATTAACTTACTAGGATGTCCATTCAGAATAACAGAGACCATATTAAATTGTATTAAACTGTATTAAATGAATTAATATTTGTAAAGTGCGAGCATATACGAAGTCTGGGGCTCTGGGTAACTGTTTGTTAAATAAAACTAACAAGTCTTTCTGATTCACGAGTGGTGACAGCATGGAGTAGCAGGCCTCGCTCCTTCCTGACGTGCCGGGCGCCAGGCCTGGTTTCCATGGTGCTGCTGGAATGCGGCTGTTTGGGTCTCTATTGCCAGGCTGTAAATGACAGTGCAGAATCACACAAAGTCAACAGCAGGGCCTATCTGGAGGGCGGGACGTCCAGCAGTGTGGCAACATGTGATAAGGGAAGGTGGCATTGTCAGTAAAATGGAATATTTAAGCTTGATTACACGAGAAAAACAAACCCACTAGAAAAGGATGAACGGGTACCAGGTGGAAAGAGTTTGACAACCAGACCCTGGAACCCCTAACACTGGGAAAACCTGAGAATGTAGAGGTCTGAACCATCCATTGTCTCGAAGCTGCCACCCCCCCGCCCACAGCTGATTCTTGAAGTTATATGAGCACAGTCTAGAAGCTGCCAGAAAGATGGGAGAGGGCCAGGAGATCCAGGAAGAGGATGGATGGGTCACCTCTGTTCTCTCTCCCAGGGTCACCGTGGCAACAGCCTGGAGCGCAGGTCCCAGGGCAGCCCGCATCTCAGTGGGGCTGTGGGGGAAGAAATCCGGCCTTCGATGAACCGGAAGCTGTCGGACCACCCCCCACCTCCTCCCTCACAATACCACCAGCACCAACAGCCACCCCCACAGTACCCCACGGGGCCGCAGCCCCCACCGCAGCGATACCAACAGCATCACCACTTGCACCAGGTATCTGCAGAGAATGGAGTTCCACCTGGTGAGGTGCATGGAGGACCTGCCCTCCCCAGGCTCCAGCATCCCAGGCCTGGCCCAGCCTCCCTGGGTCTCACAGAGCTCATGAAAGAGATCCTGCCCCCACTCCATGACTGAAATATGGACATTGCTGTTGGCAAACAAGTCTGTAAACTAAATGGCTCCCTACCTGATGCCCACACCTGCGTGCGCAGGCACCCCCACACACGTTTACCCTGAAGACTCAGGGAACAATTGCTTCATTTTCCTATCAGCAGAATTCCAAATCTATTAATGCCCCTTAGCCCATCTGGCTGCAGAAGTCCACAAGGAAAAAAAGGATTAACACCTGCAATGGAGGCTTGCTTATTTATTTATCCCCTGCCTGTTCCAGATTGGATTTCTGGCGGCTTACAGAGGTGGACAATACAGTCTGATAGCATCGTTCCTAAATTCCTTAGCAGGGCACACAATGGCCTTTGTGAGCTGCCTGCGTCTAAGTCGCCAGCCTCATCAGCTACCTCCCCCTCCCCTATGCAAACACACCCCAGCACCCGGCTGCATTTTCTCTCTGTCTTTGTGGCATTTTAGAAGCTGTTCTCTGACCAAAGAGCCCTTCCTTGGCCAGTCCTTCTGGAGTTCTGGCGTGGCCTCCTCTGTGAAGTCCCCTGATTTAGCCAGGCAGACCTGGACTTTTCTGGGTGATCACAGCACTTCAATGTGTAAGGTCCCCCCTAGATGGGAACTCCGAGGAAGTGGAGACCTTCTCTTTCTAGCAATATATGCCTGATGTCTGCTACTGCCAGACACCAGGTAGGTACCTAATAAATATTTCTTTTTTTTTTAATTATTTTTTAGTTGTAGTTGGACATAATACCTTTATTTTATTTATTTTTATGTGGTGCTGAGAATAGAACCCAGGGCCTCCTACGGGCTAGGCAAGCACTCTACCGCTGAGCCACAACCCCAGCCCCTCCTTTTTTTTTTTTTTTTTTTTTTTTAAGGAAAGAGAACATACACATTTCTTATGTGAGAGCATGAGACTCCCCTAGTGAATATTTCTTAACTGAACAAGCAAAAGCCACCGTCATCTTGGCCTTCAGAATCCAAGGTCCCTTTGACCTCCCTCCCCTGCTCTCCATCATCCAGGGTTTATGGTCATGCTCAGAAAATTCTCCTGTATCCTGGGTGTGTCGATGGCACCTCAGCAAGGCTCGGGAGGGTAACGATCCTCTGTTGCCTCTGTCTCTAGGAACGTCGTGGAGGCAGCCTGGACATAAATGATGGGCACTGTGGCGCGGGCAGCGAGGTGAATGCAGCCCTCATGCATCGGAGACACACAGACCCCGCCCAGCTCCAGCTGGCAGGGGTAAGCGGGCCGGGGGTGGGGTGGAGTGGGGTGAGGACTGGGGCTAAAGGAATCCAGCGGTGCCTGCTCCAGGGGTTCCTGGTCTTGCTGTTGGGCTGGCTCTGTCCTGTCCCCATGGTGCTGTGGATGGAACCCAGTGCCTCACGCGGGCTGGACAAGCACTCTGCCACTGAGCTACAACCCCAGCCCTGTCCCCAGGCTTCTTGCCTCTTACTCTGGCAGGGTGAGATCCGCCTTTATCTTTGTGATCTGTCTTGACTCAGGACTCAATCGTACTCACCTGGAAGGCTTGCCATTCTGTGTGTCACTTGAAGAAAATAAAAGTACCTCCTTGTAATGTAGAGAGAGTGGTTAGGGACTCCCTGCGGGCATTAGAGAAAAACATCTCTGTGAATAAAAGTGCTGAGCCTCAAGGCTGGGGTGTAGCACTGAGCTGGGGTGGAGCAGGGGCCTAGCATGTGCCAGGCCCTGGTCTCTCTCCAGCATAACAGCAAAACAAAACAAGAGGTAGCTTCAGGGCTGTGCATGTCCATCTGCTTTAAGTGGCAGGGGGTCAGCTTCTGTGGAGGTCATGGCTCAAGGAACCACTGCATGCTCTCTGCAGAACAGTGGCTCTGAAGGCCAGCTGGCCAGCCCGCAGCTGCTAAGCATCTCTGCTTCCCCAACAGCGCGTGCGGTGGGCCCGGGCCCTGTACGACTTTGAGGCCCTGGAGGATGACGAGTTGGGATTCCACAGCGGAGAGGTGGTCGAGGTTCTGGACAGCTCCAACCCATCTTGGTGGACCGGCCGGCTGCACAACAAACTGGGCCTCTTCCCCGCCAATTATGTGGCACCCATGATGAGATGAGCCCTGCTGGGGGGACCGGAAGCTTTCTCTCTGAAGCTATCCCCAAGAAAGCGGGGCAAGGAAAATTCTCCTGTATCCTGGCTGTGTCACTGGACCACACAACTACATACCATGCATACAGTAGACACGCGTACATGTATATGCATATCCACACCATGTTTTATAATAGTAATTTATTGGCAATTGAGTTGGTTTATATGGGCAATTGGGTTGGTTGAAATGGAAAGGAACTCAGATGGAGAGTGATATCTGTGCTTCTTTTTTGCTCCTCTCATTGAGTGCAGAAGGCAGTGGGGGAGTGGGGCAGGGGGCAGGAGAACTGGAACTTCAAGAGTTGTCCCTACTTCCTCCCTGGTTTGGGAATTTTCCCAGACAGCAGCCAAGCACAGGCCCCACCCCAGCATTGGACGCAGAACAGCAGGGTGGAGCTGGACGTGGTGGGGCACGTTGCAGCTCACCTGCAAGCCCCACGCACCTGGAGGGTTGCAGGGCAGCTTTCCTCCCATTCTCCAGGAGGTGGGCACTGCTGCATCAAGATTTAAGGTGCAGCTGATCCACGGCCACGGGCACCGAGCAAGTCTGAACGGGAGCTCACAGGGGCGAGGACAGGAGCAGCTGCGTGGGAGAGTCCCCGCTGTGCAAGGCTGGCCTCCTGGAGATGCCCAGCCACCACATGCATCCTCCCCAAACAGTGTTCCTTGGGTGATCTTTTCATAGGCTGTCTGGAGAGGGCGTCTCCAACATGGGACTCTGTGAGGAGCTGAAGCTGTGAGGTGGAGGGATTTTCCATAGCTCCCTGTGGCTTACCTGGACGTGACCTCAGTTTCTCCAGCTACAAAGGAAGCTGCATCTTAGATTCTGTAAAGTGCTGGAGAAGCCCTGGCTGACCATGCTGAATTTGAGGATCATTCTTTTCTGGCTTTCAGGGTGTTTCTTCGGGGCTCTGCTCATTTTTTCTTGATTCCTGTGTTTGAGGACATCTTGCCCCAGTGGCCCAGAGAGAGGCCTGACTAGGGATTAATAGATCAATTGATGGATTGAATATGACCCTGGGTGGGAGCAGGCTTTGAAATTAGTTCCCTGTTCTATCTGACTGTTGGACCACTCCTGGCCTCCCCTCTCCCAAAAATTGCACTTGGGGAGAAAACCCCACTATCACTGTCCCCCCTTGTCACCTCAAACTAGAGTCGTGTGTCCTAGTGCTCCACCCGGGGGGTGTGAAACACAGATCAACCTGGCCAGAGAGGAAGTGCATTGCTTTGTGGAACCCAGGAGCAAACACATCTGTGCAGAGGGCACTGAGGGAAAAAAGAGAGAGCGCCTGCCCATGCGTGTGTACACACGTGCCGATGTGTGTGCCGATGTGCACCCGATGTGCTCCCCCTGAGCATGTGCATCTGTGGGCTAAGACAGGAGAAAAAGGGGTGGCATTGAAGGTGTTGGTGAGAGCGCACGGACGGTGGGGCCCCCGTTCCTTTGTTTCTCCTCCTCACCCCGTGTGCTCTAGATGATAAAAGAGAGCTTCTGACTCAGAAGTGACTGCCGGTGTAGCGTAAGCTCTGTCCCTTGTGACTCTGATTCTACAATTCTCTGATCCCCATGTTCCCTTTAGAGAAAAAAGGGAAGAAAGGGACTCTGTGGCGGAGACTAGGAGGGAAGAGAAAATAGCCTGGAAGCAGCCAGGGAAGCAGAGTGTGAGTGAGGAGAGGCCGCAGCCTTTGGAAGCAAAGGCAGGATCAAGGCAAGACACTAAGTGGGACAGGAAGGGTGAGCTTGATGAGGCCAGGGGCAGCCAGCACAGGAGGGAGGGGCCAAGGCAGGTGGGAAAGGGTGACTCCCAAGAAGGCAAGGAGCAAAGACACCCCAGAAAAACAAAGCAGGAGAAGGGGAGCCAATGCATAGCGCCCTCATCAGCTCTCCTGGTGCTAGGTAATGGGAAACATTATGGTAAATAAAAGCCAGAAGGACTCTTTGATTTTACAGTATCTGCAAACCATATGCTTTAAACAGCCCACAAACTTCATCCGTTTGTCTGCTTCTGTGGGAGGATCAGCCGCGGTGTGACTCTGGTCTAGATCTCGAGCCTTGACACACCGTGAAGAAGTCAGCAACACAGCCATGGCTCTGCTCTGCCCGGTGGCCCAGCCCCCAGGTGGGAGTGGGAGGACCCCAGCGCTGGCAGGGGCCTTGGCCTGGAGAGGCTGACCACATGAGCGGGCCGCGTGAGCACAGTTTTCACAACTCTGGGAACAGGGTGTCTTGCTCTCCAAAGGGCCATCGTGGGAGCAGGAGGAGTGTTTCTATCAAGGTGCCCTGCCTTGCTCATCAGTGTGGCTCAATCCAGAAGAAAGCAGGGGAGTCTTCTCCCACACAGGCAGGACAGGGCTCGTAGGGACCAAGCCAAGAAGACAAGGACCACACTGTCCCCACTGGGGAACAGGAGCAGGAGGAGCTCAGCTCTCCTCGGCCACTAGTGTTGCTCTCCCCTCTACCCCAGTTGGTCCCCCTGAGCCAGGGGAATGTCCACCCAGCACTTCTCACCAGCCACACAACTAGCATGCAGCACATTGTGTCTGGTTTGGGCTGTGACACTGTACATGACTTAGGAGCAGGGAACTTCCAGAGAAAAACCAGTTCCTGTTCAACCAGTTGGGTTTTGCTAACCTCTTACTGAGGACCACTGCATTTCAATGATCTGGCACCTGCCACTGCCCACCCACTTTCAGATGGCCTTGGGATGATCTCAGGCCCCTGCTTCTCAAAATTTCAAGGGCCTGCAAATTGCCTGGGGACCCTGTTAAAATGCAGAAGCCGCTTCAGTCCTGCGTTTCTAACCAGCTCCCTGGCGCTGCAGGCGGGGTCTGCACTTGAGCAAGCAGGAAGGGCGAAACTTGGCAGTGAGCTAAACAGCTAGAAAAATCAAATTGGATTCTTTTTCTGAGGCTACTCAGTCATTTCTCTTCGTTGGTAATGAATACGTCACTTTGATTTTGGGACAGACCCAATTCCGAGCTGTCATTATGACATCATCCATGTTTGACAGCCCAGTGACTTATCTTCATCTTCACCAGGAATCAAACACCTTTCGGACAAACAGGAATTTCCTAATAGTAATTGTTTTAAACATGAGCAGAGTTTACAGAAAACATTGCAAAAGCTTCTTAGGAAATCTTTGAACATAAAATTGACACCCGTCACATGGGGGCAATAAGTGAGACAGGCACATGGGCCTCCATGACATTATTGGGTCTCCGACAAGCAAAACAGCCCACAGTGGGGACAGATTATCACTGTCAAAATATTTGCCAGTTGCCTTGTCTAAAGTCGACGTTTCTGCCTGTCTGTACCAAGAGCAGTGTGTGAAAAAGATTTATTGTCTCAATTCTTTAAAAAAATACATTTTTCAAGTTCCACCACTTCATCACCACAGCCATGCCAGCCTCCTGTCCCTCCTAGGCAACAATGTCCTCCTCCATACTTTCCTCCCTGCATTGTTTCTTGCCCCCAATACATTTCCCACACAGACACTGGAGTGAAATTTGTAAAATAAGTTAATCTTATCAGATCACTCTCCTTCCAACTGCCCAAAGTCCTAATGTGACCCTGCCAGGTTTGGCCTCTGCCAGGATCCCTCTCCAGCCTCCTCTGGGGCCTGTCCTCTTCTTTCATGTCCCTGAACCACTGGCCTTCTCTCAGCCTCCAGATGGCCCAGGATTTGTCCCACACAGCCTCTGTCTTTACCTGCGAATTCTTGATCAGGCCTGGGTTTAAATGTCACTGCCTCAAATAGTCCCCCCATGACCCATAGACTAGACCCCAAATCCCATGCTTTTCCTGAACAGCACAGACTCAGACTGAGTTATCTGACTGCTAGACTGGAAGCTCCGTGGGGCAGGGATCGGCTGTTTGTAAACCACTGTGTGCCCAGCATCTCCCATGGTGCATAGCATGGAGCCTTAATAAATGTATGTCTAATAAATGAACAAGCAAAACCTGCCTTGTCTCATCTGTCCATTCATTCTGTAACCCAAACGTCTCGGGCTTTACAGACACAAGGTAATATTAACAACCATGGTCTGATTACAGTAGCTTTAGCCACTGCCCTCAGATTCTCCTTCAGGACTTCTGAGAGTCCCAGAGAGGGAGGTTGGTATCTCTCACATGTTTGGGCACCGTCTGCTCATGCTTCTTCCTGGGGTTGTGTTCTACTGCCCTGGGTGTCCCTTGCTGGTGACACCCTCCCTGACGCTGTGATCTGCTATGCTCTGCATTGAACTGCAGGGGAAGTGGCCTCATCCTTCAGGACACCAAAGCTGCCCAGCCGGCCACAGAACTGGAGGACCGGGTAAGGGGTGGGCTGGAGGATGGCTTGCACCCAGCTCTGAAAGGCACCAGCGTGGGCCCAGCGCCCCTCAATGTCTTCCATGAATTCTACTGGTCCTCTTCCGTCCAGAGCCCTCTCTCCATCAGACAGAACGGTGGATGCCAGCCTTCCCCCCATCTCTCTCGTGTCTCTCTCTCTTCCTGGTAAATCTTTCTCCTTCAGCTGGAAAGAAACGTCCCCCACCACTTCATCTGTGCCACAGATAACCAGAAGGGCTCAGCTGTACAGTCTGGACTCGGCTATAATTCATTCATTAAATCAACACGTCTTTACAAAGCACCTCCCAGGGGTCCAACACAGTCAGTCACAGGTTCTTCACTTCCCCCGCTCTGTCCTCTCCATGCCCACACCACAGTCACTGCCTCATCTCCTACTCTCTCCCAGGCAACTGCAGTAATCTCCACACTGGTCCTCTGGCCTCCAGGCTGGGCCCCTCTAATCCAGCCTCCGCTTGCTGCCAGTGACATCTTATTATTATTAACATGCAAAGCGGATGACATCAGGCTTTTGTTCAAATCCTTCAGGGCTCCCCATAGCTTTCAGGCTGGTGTTTAAACTCCTTAGCTTCACACTAAAGGCATTTTGTGATCTGTCTGCTGCCTGTTTGTTCAGTCGCATCTCCCAGATCTCTGCTCCCAAGCACACTTTACTTCCATCTCTCTGAACTAGCTGTAGCTCCAGAGATCTGAGTCTCCCACATCCTTTTGCCCTGGATGACTTCTCCCACTTTTTTTTTTTTTTTTTTGTCTAGACCAGTAGTGTGCAATAAAACTTTCTGAGATGGTGAAAAAGTTTGTATTTGCCCTGCCACTAGTCCCATGTGACTACTGAATACTTGAAATGTGGCTCATGCAATTAGCAAAATAGACATACATGGTTGGTGGCTCCTTACTGGGCAGCCTGGGTCCAGACAATGGTCACTCACTTTGAAGTACTTAGCTCAGGACTCAAAGTCTCTGCCAGAAGCCATCCCAGTGCCGTGGTTGACCTTGTCGATCTGCCTCCGACATGAGAGTAGTTCAATGGTTGACGTGTGGTATGCTGGTAGCGGTTTGGCCACCAATCTTCTGAGACAGCCCTGATTTGTATCATTTGCCAATTCTATGTGTCAAGAGAATGAGAAGACAAGCCACAGACTGGAAGAAAATATTTGCAAAAGACAAATCCAAAAAAGGACTATTACCCAAAATATATGAAGAACCCTTAAAACTCAAAAATAAGAAAATGAACAATCTGGTTTTAAAAAATGGGCAAAAGACCCAAACAGACACCTCATCAAAGAAGATATGCAAATGGAAACATATGAAGAGATGCTCAACATCATATGTCTGCAAGGAATTGCAAATTAAAACAATAATGAGATAACATTTCACACCTATCCGAATTCCCAAACAGAATTCCCCAGAATTCAAAACATTGATGGCAGCAAGTTCTGGTAAAGATGTGGAACAACAGGCAGGAACACTGGTTTATTGCTGGTGAGAATGTAAAATGGTACAGCTGCTCGGTAGGACAGTTTGGCAGTTTCTTGTTAAAATAAATACATTCATACCATACAATCCAGCAACACAGTCCTTGTCATTTATCCAAAGGAGTTGAAAGCTTAAGTCCACACAAACACAGCACCTGCACACCAACATTTTTAGCAGCTTTATTCAGAATTGCCAAAGCTTGGAAGCGACCAAAACGTTCTTCAGTAAGTAGATGGATAAACAGACTGTGGTGCATCCAGACCAGGGAATAGGATTGTTTAAAAAGATGAACCATCAAGTCAAGAAAAGACATGGAAGAATCTTAAATGCAAATCCCAAAGTGAAAGAAGCCAACCCGAAAAGACTACACAGGATAGGATTCCAACTCCTGACATTCTAGAAAAGGAAAACCTATAAAGACAATATAAAGATCAGAGGTTGCCAAGGATGGGGGGAGGGAGGGATGAACAGGCAGAGCACTTTTAGGGCAGGGGAGCTACTGGGTAGGCAGCCTGATGGTGAGGGCAGGTCAGTGTACATTTTTCAAAATTCATGGAACGTACATGGTGATCATGATGTGTCGCTGCAGGTTCTTCGGTCTTAAGAAATATACCCCTCTGTTGGGATATGCTGATAGTGGTGAGGCTTTGCGAGTAGGGGGACCTGGGAAACATCTGTATCTTCTGTTCCAATTTGCTGTGAACCCAAAACTGCTCTAAAAAAAAAAAAGTTTACTTTAAAAAGAACAACTCCCACCATGGCTGTCTTCAAGCTATTGACATGACATCACCAAACTCCAAGCTGGGAAAAGACTGCACAGCTGGCTCTTGGGAACAGATGGAAGCCTGAACACGTTGTCCTGGACGTGGGGATGCAGGGAAGCCTCGGGGCTCTCCAGGGAGGAGCCTCCTCAGACTTGCTGGAAGCTGGGCGTGCAGCTGCCCGTGGAGTTGAGTTCCAACTCACAAGAATGGAGGAGTCAGATCTTTGATTTTTTCAGAGAGAGACTTGTTTCCTTTCAGTCCTTCATCTTTAATGCCAAGACTTGTCTAGACATCTACTGAAAGGCCACTCAGACAGGTGGAAAGGGAATGAGCCTCAGGTGAGAAATGGAGGTTGGACCAAAAGCAGCTTCAACAATGAGGGGTTTGTGATCTCCCAGAACAAGGTGTCCGAGGGGGCAGTTCCTGCTTGTTTAAGTCAGTAGCTAGCAACGCCATTCTCCAGCTCAGTGGCATCCCTTTGCAGTATATGCTGCAGTGCCCGACGTCACATGCAGACATGGCCATGTCAAACGAAGAGGCACGTTCACTCCCAACTTCAATTAGTGAGCAAAACTTTTCCCAGAAGCCCTTTAGCTTCAGTCTCCAGACTGCCATTCCTAAACCATCTCCTAGAGAACGAGCATGCCAGAGTTGACTCAGACCAGGGGGCAGGACCCTACAGGGCTCTGCCCACAGGAAGAAGCAGACTGGGGGCGGGGGGGGGCTGTCAGAACCCAATGTAGAGGGACTTTTAGAGAAAGAGCCACTTATTTTATGACCTGGCTACATAAACATTTATTGAGATAATTAAGGAATAAGAAGGCAGTGTGAGGAAGCTCCCTGCCCAAATGGAAATGCCTACGTGGACATACTTGGACATTCCCCACCCCCATCAGCCTTCCTCCATGGATTCCATATCCACACCAGCAAGTCAATGGGAAAGTTCCATACTGTTCAAAAGAACTAGTGCTGTACACAGGGAAACCCTATGTCTGCTGTGGGGATGGAGGTCCCAGCCAGCCCTGGGGGCTACATAGTCCCAGCAACTCGCTGAGACTGCCCCGCTCCTACCCAGGTACGCCCAGGTAGGGCTCTGTGCAAGGTCATTTATGGCAATCCCATTTCTACATGTCTGAATTCCCCAGAGAGTCAGCACATGGTGTCTCACTCCCCCAGCTCTGACCTGGTTATAGGGAGTTGCTAGGTAACTGCTTCCCACGCTGAAGGAGACTTAGTTACCATGGTGAGCCTAGATGGGTGGGGGTGCAGAGGAAAGGAGAACTGGTGGAGAGGGGTGCAGCAGCCTCCCCTCTTCCTCACTCTCTTGAGCTCCTGGACCTCAGAGGATTGTCTGAACCCCTCCAGGCCTCAGTTTCCCCATCAGTAAAATGAAGGAATGTCTCTTCTTGTTCCTTGCTCTGATGACATCACTAAATAAGCACTGATCCTCAGACCCCTCCCAGGCGAGGAATGACTGGGGATGGTGCAAAAAAGGAATGGATAAAGTTTATTTGTCTTTTTCAATGAATAGGGGATTAGCCAGCCCATGTCACAAGCTCCTGGGACTCCTTAGGTCTTCTTCTGAACCTAGACTTCCTAAGGTCCCTAAAATGCCCAGCTTGCTACAGTGTGCTGTCTATCAGATGGGGTCTACCAGCTCTTGAGCTCTGCTGGCCCCTCTGCCCCAGGTGGAGCCATGGCAAAGCCTTTCCTAGGTCACTGGCAGTGACCTTGACAACTGCGGTGTGGGCCTCTGCACAAGCCTCTTGGGTCGACTTGACACTGGCTTCATTCTGAGACCTGACTCCGCTGCCTTCTTCCCTCATTCCTGCAACGAGGTCCTGCCTGGGCCAGACACTGGGTCCTCTGATGTACCCAGCCCTTCCCTTCCCTCCTGCCTCGCTCATGCCAATACCGGGTATAGGACCCAGGTGGTGTCTGCCAACCTTGGTTGCCATCCTGCCTGTCCACCCACCTGAGCCTTCATATCCTGGGGTCTGTGCATCACCCCTCAGCACTCCAGTGACCATGTGCCAAACCCTTGATCCTTGAGCCACCCAGAAGAAAGGCCAAACCCTTCCCATGCAGCAGCTGATCTGTCTTTCCCCCATCTCCCTCAAACCCTGCCTCCCAGGTCCAGTTCTAAGCCTTGGCCACTTCTGCTCCCTCCCCACCTCCATACAGACTTGGCAAACAGGGTGATGTCTGAATGTGGCTGGAGACACTAGAATTGTTGGGGAACATTCTCCACCCCCACTGGACAGTGAGCTGCCCCATGGTTGGGGAAAGAAGGAGGAATTCATACCTTGTGCATAGGGAGTGAGAAACACTGGGCTGTCACCTTGACTTCTCAGTGATATCATTCTTAGCTGCCCA